ATAGTAGTATCAAATGCTGACTTCTCAAATGAAATATTTCTGTGAAGAAAACAAGATTGGAACAGGGAAACCTTGGAGAATCACTGGAGGCGATCTTAATTTCATTTTCACACTGTCATCTGTAAACAGTTGATGCAGACTCTGCAAGGAGAGTTGGCACTATGACCTATTATTTCAGTGTGTCTGTGTGTTATTGAATTGTTAAGCCGTTGCTGAAAGATGATATAACGTCAACTGCTTGTGTTGTTGTAACTAGCAGTGCCCGTTACTTCAGGCACAGCCCTTCGTTTTGGACTAAGTTTGCCAAATCTCTGGACGTGCTGCTGGAGCTTCAGAATCTCAAAGCAAAACAGTAAAATCTCATGATGGGATCCAGAAGGAAAGGGGGCAGATGATTATCCTCACAGTCCATCCTTATCCTTTTTCAGCATTTTAACTGAAGTCTTCCTGTTCCAGATTCCAACTAATCAGCCACACCTTCTAGAATACTCTGTTCAATCCTACTTCACCATCGGTTTTTCCCCCCTGTTCCACCACCCACTGAGTGTGTTTGGTCTTCACTGGGCTATTTTTGCAATTCCTCCCCCTGAGGATTCCACCCCCATAAAGAATTGCCTGCTGATACTCCCTTTTGTGCGGGCTGTTTTGGCTACATAAGGATCAACATTCGGAGATGGAGTTTACTGTTAGTATATAGGACAGACAGACATGTGAGCAGAGTACTTTACATCTTCAAGAAGATTAGAAGCCCCCCCTTTTTTTTGTTCCCTCTAAATCCCTCTGGGGGTGCATCTCTCACTTCTTTGCTCTCGTTTTACGCTTTTGAAAAATAATAATATTTTATTAGAAGAATTTCAGTTGCAAAAATAAAGTGGTAAAAGAAAAAAAGGGAGAAAAAAGAAAAAGAAAAAAAGTGTGAAAATATGATTAAATGCTATAATGCAATAAGTATACACAGTGCAAGACTTTAACTGTTTATGCAGGAGTAAGTTCTGCTGAACTCAGTGGGGCTTTTTCTTAGTAAAGTGCATGGCTTCCCCCAAACAGTCTTTGGAACTCTAGTTTATCTCTTAAAGGTAAAGGTAAAGGGACCCCTGACCATTAGGTCCAGTCGTGGCCGACTCTGGGGTTGCGGCGCTCATCTCGCTTTACTGGCCGAGGGAGCTGGCGTACAGCTTCCAGTTCATGTGGCCAGCATGACTAAGCCGCTTCTGGCGAACCAGAGCAGTGCACGGAAACGATGTTTACCTTCCCGCCAGAGCGGTACCTATTTATCTACTTGCACTTTGACGTGCTTTCGAACTGCTAGGTTGGCAGGAGCTGGGACCGAGCAACAGAAGCTCACCCTGTCGCAGGGATTCAAACCGCTGACCTTCTGATTGGCAAGTCCTAGGCTCTGTGGTTTAACCCACAGCGCCACAGGGTTACAATTCCCAGTACCCTTAACCAACTATAGTTCCTAGGATTCTTTGGGGGAAAGTCATGTGCTTTACATGTATGGCATAGATGGGAGCTGTGTTTAGGGTTGCACTGCCTAAACACTGTATTGGGCTTTCATTTGTTGGAAGCCACAAATGGCCCAGAGCGGCTGGGTAACCCTCAGCTTGGTGCCCTATGCGGGAGAACTGCTCGCACTGCCCTAAATCCAAGACTACGCCAAGTAAACCACAGAGGTGCAGGATGAGCTGGGGCTGCAGGAGTAAGTGGGAGGGGGCAGCAGCAACCACTGGACTCTAAGACCCACTGGCAGCACTGCAGAGCTGTTGTGTTGCAGTCGGGCAACGAAGGGAGTGAGGAAAGCTCTCTTCCCCACAACCCGCCGCTGCTTCGACACAGCGACCACGTTGGCTACCTCTGCCCCAGGCCTTCCTGCTCCATCCCCACCTCCCACCCCATTTTGGGGTTTGAACTACAGAGACTTGGCCAACTCTATTTCATCACTGTACTGTGTGGTTTGTACAGATCTGTAGCTGGGAAAGACTTTAAAACGAGAAAGGGCATGCCAGAGACCTTTTAAACAGGCAGCTGCCTCAAGATACCTGTTTCCCAATCAAACACCTGTGTGGGCCTGCAGCAAAGCTTTTGACTAAATAGGAGTGACAGGAGGTTTGCGTACATTATTTGTTTATTTCTAATGATGTATAGGTCATCTTTCAGGGTTTTGGTTTTTTTTTTAAATCTAGAGTAGCTTATCAGTAAAACAACAAAAACCGGAATAAAATATATAATAAAGTAGAATAAGGTCAAAAGACAGTAGATATTGTCATTGGCCTCCTCCTGTCTCGAGAGACAATGGAGTCCACCTCTGGGGGTGAAGTCAAACCGCTGCATTAGCAGCACCGATGTGACCTTCCATGGTGTGCAAGCCCAGGCAGTGTGGATGGAGGTCCTGGGCTGCCCAGATGACAAGACCCCGCTCTCAGCCTCACTGATGTGCTCCAAAGGAAAGCTGAGCAATAGCCTTGGCACCAGCTTGGCTGCAGGAGTTGCCAGAAGGAGGCGTACAAGGCCCCATCCAACCATCTTAGAGACTCCACTTGATTTGTGTAGTGTTTACTCCTTAGCTTTTTCTTCTCCCAAAGGTGTCCCACAAGGCAGCAGAGGATTTGGATCAGAGTTTTCCTTCTCATAGATGGGCTACCTTCCCAGGTTGACAAGTCCCATCTGCAGGTATAAGCAGTGTAAAACAGAACAGATGAATCCAATGGTCAAATGGTATCAGAGTAGGCACAAGGGAAACCTCACTGAGGAGAGCACTCCACTCCACCACCAGGAAGGCCTTTGTAAGCCTCTCATCACCCACTTCACCTAAGGCAGTAAGTGCACCCCAATGGCCTTGGGGAGGCTTACAATAGAGAAGCCAATTCATTTGAGCATCATCTGTGTCAGGTGGTGTGTCCCATCACTCTCAGCAACCACAGCCAATGGTTAGGACAACAGCATCTGCATGGCCAAAAGTTCCCTGCCCCCAATATCCGTGCTTGTATTTGCAATGTAAAACCCACCCAATGGATTAAAGTTTATCAGTTCTGGAATGGATTGTCGAAAGCCCTTGTGACATGTGCATGGCTAATATTTAGATTCCCAACCTAGCAACAGGAGTGGAAGTACCCTTCAGCCTTTACTAAGCATGAATAAACTGTCCAGATTTTCTCTCCCTTTGTATACAATAGTCAGTGCTGGGCCTGTTCGTTTTCTCCACTGGTTGATTCATTGGTACAAGGCCTTCATGTTTCTGCACCCTTGGCAATGTTCCCTAAATCACACACCCATCATGCCTTTGCAGCTGCACATTGCAGGGCAAGGGGAGCAGTAGACAAGCAAACTTACTTTCTGGGGTGCTTTTCAACTGGCTGCCACTGAAAAAACATCCAAGAATTCCCAAAAACACGGTCTGCAAAACAGCTTCTTTATCAAGCTTTCTCTTCCCCTTTTACACTATCTGCCGTACTCAGTTTGTTAGCCTGAGTTATTCTGTGCATCATTTGCCATGATGCAAGCATGCCCTTGCGCATGAAGCATGTGCAGAGTGCTCCGCTTACTGATTTACTAGAAATCACCCACATTGCAGGTCAGAATGTGTGACTTTCCACTGGCCTCTCATTTTATAATTCTCCAGCAGTTGCTTGGAGTTTATCTAGACAGCCTCCCAGGTGGCTGGAATAAAAGCAAGATGCGCATGAGCATCATGGCGCAGCCATAGCATCTGCTCACACGACATAGAGAGGCTATTGTGTGGCTACCGGATCCTTGCATTACACCTCTAACAACAAATATAAATAAAGCAAGCAACGACAGCATGTACAGAGAGACAAGAGACCAAATTTGTCCGACAAGCGTGGTGCTAAGTGACAGTTCCCATGAAGCCTGTGGCTCCATACATTCCAGGGACTGTGGGTTTTTATTACATGCATGGACTCTGGCCAAAGGGATGGCATGTTGCGCAGGGCACGGAAGGTCGTAGTAGAGCAGGGTGGCAAGGAGAGAAAGAAAACAGAAAGTTGCCCGTTCCAACCCTTCTCCCCAAAGAAAGGTCTTTCATACACTGCTCTCCCACTGGATGGGCTCTCAAACACCCTGAAAACTGTGGATGTCACGGTCCAGTCTACAGGCGAATGAAGTCCCAGCTGAGGACGTCGGGACCGGGGGCAAGATGGCAGGGTGGGAGCAGGAACGAGAGTCCAGAAGCCAGGAGTCCGAGGGTCAGGAAGCAGGGAGTCACGAAGTCAAGGGTCGAGAAGCAAGGAGTCACGAAGTCAAGGGTCCAAGGATCAGGAAGCAAGAAACCAAACACAGCAAGGCAGGAAAAGTGTTGCTGTGGCAAAGAGCTGAAGGGAAATGCTGACCTTATATCCCTTCCCAGCTCTTGCCACCAGGTGCAATGAGTTACCAAGCAGCCTCACCTGTGCGGCCACACCTTGCCTCTCCAGAACAAACTTAAGAATGCCCCACTCCTGCAAAGCTCTACTGGTCACAGGGCCTGGCTCCTGCATGCACTCCTGACAGTGGGAATGCTAAGGAAGATAGAAGAGGATATATTGTTTTGATATTATCCCTGCTCACTCATGCTAGTGAGCAAACAGCAGAGCACATTCCCTTTGCAACATATTGGAAGCAAGTTGATGATTCGTTAGAATCCTTTACTTGTCTCTCTGTGCCCTTTTACCTGGTCAGTTTGGGTCACACTCATCTACCTGGTCACACACAAGGGGAGGAAACTCCAGAGCAGGTATGAAATGAAGTCCTCCCTGTCTGGAGCTACATTCCTCTATGTGCCCATTCCAGACAACAGGAAAATGTTGTACTTGACTGCTCTAGTAATAAATACATCCCACGAAAGCACACTGCCAAGAGAACGCAGCTTTGCTCTGGCTCCTTGACCCTCATTTCCACAAAGAATGCAAGGTCTTAAAAGAGCACATCTGTGGCTCAAGCTTTACAGTTTGAGGGAACTCTGTCCTTGGAAGTGCTGAGACGTGTGAAAGGGCCCCCTCGGAGAAGGAGACGTGATCCAAGCCGCTTCCTGCCTGACAGGAAACGGTGACAGAGCCCTGATGAGCTTAGTGGTTCTCCATCTCTGTGGCGAAAACAAACAGGCCGACAAAAAACCTGGACCAGCTCATCCTCCAGGCTGTTTTGTGAGTAAGAGGGGAGTCTTTATTGTCCTTTCAGTTGGGAAGCGTTTAGCAGAGAATCCCTCTGCAAACTCCCACAGCGTGAGCTGGCCTGTCACTTATAATCACAGGGCTTGTGAAGTGGTAATTAAATTGTGCAACGTGTCTGAGTCGCTCTGATTGGGATGTTCTAGCAAAGCAGGCAGGCAGGGCGGAGTTCCCCCGGCTTTCTCTTCCCCCACCCGAATGGAAAGGTTCCAGGGAGGGAAGGGAGTGTAGCATGTGAAAGGCTATTACTGAATTAACTGGGCACCTGCTGCTGCCATTCTTCCAGGGCTGTTAAAAAAAACAAAACACCATGTAAGCAGTTTGCGGCGCACTGAGCTGAGAATACCCATCAGGGGATGCTGCAGCTACAGAGAGCGAAGCTGCAACTTAGCTGGCAGGCTCAGGCTCAAACTTCACAAGGGCCTGGGTCATCTATGGTCATGATCCCAAAATAGATCCAGTTTACTGACCATCGATAGTCAAGGCCGGGGTGACTGAGTGAGCACACACCAGAAGACTCATTCATGTTGGCAGGTGTTATCAGCACCCAAGATATACTCCCCTTTGACTCAAAGGCAGAAGCATCTATGATTTCAGCTCCCACACAAGAAACTATGCCTCTTTTGTGACTGGCAACACTGCTATGTGTGGGGGACTGTAGCAGACCCCCCCCCCATCTTCATATAATTGCAAAGTTGGTAGGGAAACCACCCCCAGGGCCATTCCTGCAACGCAGGAATCTCAGCTAAATCATATCTTGCAAGGGTTCTCATCAGCATGTGCGAAACCTGCGTTCTCATTTTCTGGTTTCTTGTAATTCATTTATTCCTTATTTTGTTTATTGTGAAAAGCATTGCCTGAGAGGGGATAGAAAATTGCAAGAAGTAGGGGAATTCTAAAGAGTATCCGCTCCCCTTCATTTTGTCACCACATACACACTTTGTCTCCATCCATGGCAGGCAGCAGGCAAGGGCTGACTGATGCAAGAAGCTATGCAAGGCTAGCTACCCAGTCACCACCCTCTATTGACATGGAAAAGAGAAAATCCTGACACTCTGTGCCTCAGGCCAAGTAGCTTTCCGATGTGCAGAGTCCCCCACCCTAATGCAATCAAAGACAACGCCTGAGACCCCACCTGCATTATAAAACAGTACCATACACATTTAATGGCTTCCCCAAATAATCTTGGAAACTGTAGCTTGTTAAGGGTGCTGAGACACACACACACCCCACTCCCCTCACAGAGCTACTATCCCCAGAGCTCTGTGGGACGAGGGATTGACTCTGGGAATTGTAGCTTGGTGAGGGGAATAGGGGTAATTCTTGCTATCTTTAAACTACAGTTCCCAGACTGCAGCCATGGCTGTTTAAAGTGCTGTAACGTTACATTTATAGTGCAGCTGGGGCCTGAGAGCCTGGAATTATTCTTTGAATTCCAGCTACCCACCACCAACACACCAAGCATCTCTTATGCTAGCCTGTTTCTCCTGCTGCGTTACAGGAGTCTGTCCCATCAGCAGTGGGATATCAATAAATTTAAATATAATAATAATTTTGGGCATTGGGGAGGTTGTTGCTTTCAGTGCAAGCTTGAATGTTAAAACATGGTGAGAACTTGGAAGAGGTATTAAGCTGCCCACTTGAATAAATTTTCGTCTTACAATAAGAAAGGAAGGGGGCAGAAAAAGAATGGGAAATTTCATAGAACCATAGAATCATAGAGTTGGAAGAGACCACAAGGGCCATCGAGTCCAACCCCCTGCCAAGCAGGAAACACCATCAGAGCACTCCTGACATATGGTTGTCAAGCCTCTGCTTAAAGACCTCCAAAGAAGGAGACTCCACCACACTCCTTGGCAGCAAATTCCACTGTCGAACAGCTCTTACTGTCATTTCTTCATGCCCAGGCTTTTGTAGTGTTCCTGGTTCTGCAAGGGGATGGGGCAGAGGGGCAAGAAGAATCTAAATGCATAATAAATAAGAGCGTACTTTGGAGATCAAGGGGAAAAGGAGGAGAGAGGCAGCTTGCTTTCATCTACTTTGGGGGTTCTCACACGGTCTGCGTTCCTTGAATCCTTTGTCAAGCCCCTCTCATCTCCCCACCCCCAGTCCACAGATTATGAAGCGGTCCAGTGTGTCTGTAGCTCTCTGACACCCTGCAAACTGGTCTTGCTCTACCTCAGGCTGCCCTAAAAGCTAACAGGGAGGTTTTACTGCAATACACGAGCCAACCAGATTGCAAGCAACCCTGTCTGTGCTTCTTTTCCTCTATGCGAGAGCAGGGAGTGAGCTGATGTTGTGAGATTAGGGCTGCAGTCCTGGCAACGCATACTTGGGAGTAAGCCCCATAGATTTCAACAGGACTTAACTTGCTTCTGCGGAGCTGTGGTTAGGGATGGCACTGCGAATCTGTAGCCAAGCAGCCCTGAGAGAGCGAGGCGCAGGCACGGTGATGCCAAACACTAAAAGAAATGCAAAAGGGGAAGCATATAGAAATGGACTATTCCAAAGGCTGTGCCCTTTCCCAGACCACAACTGCCCCCCACCCTGCCCCAAGGCTATACGCAGCCTTGATTGCATTGCCCGGCTGGAATGCGTCCCTGAACTTCTGCATGCCTGGAAGCAGGATGGAAAACTCAGAGAATGGTCTAATTGCAATAGAGAAAACTGTTGTTAAGTCCAAGTGCTAATTTTCCCCCAAATCACATTTGATGTCCAAATATATCATAGTACTTCTTTATTACATAAAATTATTAATTTTAAAAAAAAATTAAAGTTTGAGTTCATTCCCTATCGGGGAACATTCCTTTTATATAGCACATTCTGAGCAGCATTGGTGAAATGGGTATTTTTCGGGTTCCTGCAATAGATTTCCAAATGCGCCCTGGCCTGTGGTGACATTTAGCGAAGGTTGCCAACTTTCCAGTTAGTCTCTGAAGTCGAGCCTTTCACAACAGCAGACATAAGCGCATGATACCTTTTATCTCCATAATGCGAAAAGCATCATCGATTTATTACTACGTATCAAGCTGCTCCTAAAAGCATGCATGTAAAGCCCAGATTGAAAAATTGGCACAGCTAGGCTTATGAAACTGATTGGGAAAGTGGCCTGGCTTGCTTGTGTGCCTCGAACAGTACATTGATCTGCAGAAAATAAGCAGCAGAATACTTTCCCCAGCATGGAGGCTTCCCCTTCACTGAAGCATTGTACTGTCATGAGAAAAGGTGGACTGGTGAAATTCTTGCTTCCATGCAACTGTTTAGAGGCTCTGGAGCTGGCAACTGTGTAAGTATCTGGTTATAGCATTAGAGAAGGACCAGGTATGCCTAGGTTCGAAATAACTGTTCAGAGCAACCTACATCGCAGGGTTGTTGTTTGACTAAAATAAGGAAGGAGAACTGTCTGCTCTACCTGACCTCCTCTGATAAGAAACAAACAAACAAACAAAAATGAAGTTACAAACAGTCTTTCAGAACAGCTGTAAGCTTTTTCTGTCTAGTCTTGCTTTTGCAAATGCAAACCAGATGTAGATTTGGGTTGTGCCTGTGTCATGTGTTATGTGCAACAGGATTTCAGCTAGATTTATCAGTAGCGTGGCCAGTTATGCATTTCCTAAAGAAGAAATACGATGTCCCCCAAAATTGGACAAAATGGGGCACAGATTTGCATAAAATGGGCACACGCTAATTTATGCCTATTTAGAAAGCCGCTGTGGGTTAAACCACAGAGCCCAGGACTTGCCGATCAGCAGGTCGGCGGTTCAAATCCCCACAACGGGGTGAGCTCCCATTTCTTGGTCCCTGCTTCTGCCAACCTAGCAGTTTGAAAGGACATCAAAGTGCAAGTAGATAAATAGGTACCGCTCTGGCGGGAAGGTAAACGGCATTTCCGTGCGCTGCTCTGGTTCACCAGAAGCGGCTTAGTCATGCTGGCCACATGACCCGGAAGCTGTACGCCAGCTCCCTCGGCCAATAAAGCAAGATGAGCGCTGCAACCCCAGAGTCAGTCACGACTGGACCTCACGGTCAGGGGTCCCTTTACCTTTAACTAGAAATTATTACAGGCAACTCCCCATGTAGGCGGAGGTTACATTTCTGGGTAAATCGCATAAAGTGGGGAACACCATCTAAGAAGCCTATAAACACCCTCTAACCTTGGTGCAAGGGCTCCTGGGATTGCTAGCCATTTCCCCGCTTTTCCCACACCATTTTTATTTATTTTTTTGCAGTTTTCCTACTCTTTTTGGGCCATTCTCCCCCACCACATTTTTGCACAAGTCAAACATGCATTAAGTGGGAGACATATTGTATTTCTATTTAAATGGTAGTAGAGGAGGTGGGGGAGACGGTGAAGCTGTGGATTTTTTCAATCTGCTGTTCAGATGCTGGCAACTCCAAGGCCCCTGTTGTGCTTTCCTGTAGTTATCTTTAAACTGGATTAGACCTTCAATAGATGCCTCCTTCAGATAAGAGGACTGCCCTTTTATAAATTCGGACAAATGGCCTCACTGCGGTTGGCATGTTCGGTTTAGATCACAGTTCCTGAACAGTGATCAGTTCAAAAGGCGAAACTGAGACCACACAAAAAGTGCTGTTTTTGCAGAAAAGTATTTCCTTAAAGGACTCCCTTCAAATGCTTATCTGAAGCAGTTAATTTCATCATTGTCATTATGGTGAACTGGGTTGAACGGATGCAATGGAGGAGGGGGTTCCTATATCTTCCACGGTTGCACAGAAGAGGAAATTTCAGCCAGAGGAGAACTAATATATTTCTGTGCCTGAGGCAGAAAGTCCAAGTGGCCTCTGGCAATGATAAAATCCCATTAAATAGCTGGCAAATGGTCCTCTAATGTTATCACAATATCTGCCATTTGAGACAGGCTGAATGTCAAACAGCTTTTGACATGATTCCTCCTTCTGGACAACTTTTAGAAGTACAGATCTGTGTCCTTCTTTGCCTGATGCACAGGAAAGAAAAATATAACGGTGGGGAGGTTAACTTAAAGGCAGCAAGCCTCTAGATTTCTTGAATTATCTCTTACTGTTCTGCTCCAGAAGAGCACCAGGGCAAACTAATCTTGTTGAACTAAAAGAAAGCATGTTTTTCGCAGAAGCAAAGAGGTTTACATTTTGCAGGTGCCTACGACACCCTTGGAAAGATAAGAGCAGCAGGCAGGGATCCTATGATTTGCCCTCTGGGTCTAATTATATTATATATTCATGACAAAGACACTAATTGCTTAATTATAATTAATTGTTATTATAGGTTTGATCTGGAACCCAAAGCAAGGGTGTTTAGGATTGGTGAAAACAAACATCAAGCTAGTTGTCTTCTTTGAAAAATCCAGACTAAATCATTAATTGATGTCACAAGCCTGCCTGAGGGCTCTGTGGAGGCTCACGACGTTAAGAATAAATGTAGCCTTCTTGGCTCATAAGAAAAATTCCAGAGGAATAACAACAACAAGGTCAATGCACAGTTAGGGGAAAATATTTGACAGCAAACATAGCTTATTGGCTGATTTTCAATACTTATATTTACATCCTGCACATTTGGTCCAGAGTAGCTAACACAGCATATTTGAAATAGCAAATCATATTAAAATAATAGTGGTGATGATGCAAAAAGCAATTCAGCTTTGGAAAACCAGGTGACAATTTAAAGCAGGTCGGCATTTGAACTACAGTGGTACCTCGGGTTACGTACTTAATTCGTTCCGGAGGTCTGTTCTTAACCTGAAACTGTTCTTAACCTGAAGCACCACTTTAGCTAATGGGGCCTCCCGCTGCTGCTGCATTGCCACTGCCGCACAATTTCTGTTCTCATCCTGAAGCAAAGTTCTTAACCTAAGGTAATATTTCTGGGTTAGTGTTGTCTGTAACCTGAAGCATATTTAACCTGAAGCATATATAACCCAAGGTACCACTGTATTCCCAAAATTCCAGACTCAGAGAGCGCCTAGTAAGCCGTTCAGTTCAGCACCCACCCTGCCGTGACAGATGCGCTCTCCAGCTTCTGCTTAAAGATGGACAATCCTCTCTGTTTCTGGGTAATAGTTCCATTGTCAAACTGCTCTTACTATCAATATGTTTCTCCTAACGTTTCACCAAAATTTACCCTCCATTAGATCTAGTCCTCCTGCCCTCTGGGGGCAGCAGAGGTCAACTCTTTGCCCCCTTCCATGTGACAGATCCAATAGCCCTTGCGGCATCCAACTGGCCATCTCCAGAAAGCAAGCAGGGAGGAAAAGACTTGAAATATACACCATTTTAACTTCTTCCTTAGACATGTTGAGTGAGGGGACCTGCGGACTTCCCAATGTGGTGAATTTCATAACCCGGACACTGCTACCAAGAAGGCTACAAAGAGGAAGGTACCGTATTTTTCGCCCTATAGGATGCACTTTTTCCCCTCCAAAAATGAAGGGGAAATGTGTGTGCGTCTGGGGGGGGGGAATATATATTTTTTATTTCCCCCCCAAAAAAAACTAGGTGCGCCCTATGGGCCGAAAAATACGGTGCATCTCCTGCTTATTGCCGTGTGTGTCAACTTGGAAGGAAGAAGATGGCCCAATGGATAAACCTAGTCCCAAGCAGTTGAGGTCTTAAGGCAGTAACCAGCATCTTGAAATACAGTTCATTTCCTCTTGCATGAAAATGGGTCTTGGTTTAAATTGTTACCTGGTATTTCAAAGCAATAAGGGCCCTTTAAGGGTTTGAACACCCAAACCTCAGCATATAAATATTTACCCAAACACATCTGCCTGAAGAATGCTCTAAAAACGGCCAGCTTTGTAGCCTAATGTCGGCGGGCTTCATCTCTGGGGACTTCAGTGTGACATGGAAAGTGTGCGCATACAGATGCATGCACGCTGCTCCCAACACACACACACACACACACACACACACCATCCAATTTCTTTTTTTAAAAAAAAGGATTGTGGGGTGTAATTCAACATCACCAGGGGTAGTGGCCCACGGGGGTCGTTTAACTGGCCCACGAGCCGCCCCCAAACCGAGCCGCCCCCTCAGCGAGTTCCCATGTGCTGCGCTAAACCGGCACCAGGACTCGCTTCTGCAGCACCAGAACTCCTGTCTACACAGACACAGATGCTGGAAATCACGTCTGTGCAGACGCAGACACCATAAATCATGGGCGCGCGCACTCACGCACGCGATCCAGCCCACGGAGGGGGTTCCGCGGCAGTGAACCGGCCCAGGCAAGGTAAACCTTGCCGACCCCTGAACATCAGTTAAGATGGCTGTTCTCTCAGCACAAGCCTTTCTGGTTGTCAGACAGGATAAGCTCTCCTCTCCTCTCCTCCACTCCACTCCATGCCATGTTTTCTGGGTTTTCCTGACCTTCCCAAGCAGAATTGGGGAAGGCGGGGGGGGGGAAGGTGGGTGTAGGGGGAAAGTCCCACTGCACTAGCAGGACTCATTGTACTGGTTTCGGGTAACAGGGATGGTGGATATGCATCAAGTACAGGGTTGCCATATTTCAAAAAGTGAAAATCAGGTCACATAAAATTGTTGAGCTTTCCCCCCCCCGGTAAATCTCAAATGAAGAAGAAGAAGAAGAGGAAGAAGAAGAAGAAGAAGAAGAAGAAGAAGAAGAAGAAGAAGAAGAAGAAGAAGAAGAAGCAGCAGCAGCAGCAGCTCTTGAGCTATTTTTAAGGGAAATCGCCAAAATCTAGACTTCCGACATGTATTAGCCATATGTCCGGATTTTCCCGGACATTTCAGCGATTTCCGCCCGGACACTTTTCCGACTGCCATATTCTGGATTTGTCCAGGAAATTCCAGACGTATGGCAACCCTAATACTTCAGCATACATACCATGGTAGGCCTGTGTATTTCGGACTGGTAAATGCATGGATTGGATCTTCAGCCACAACTTAATCAATGTTTTTAACAGCTACCAGACAGTGAACATATGTAGATGGATATTTACTATTCCCAACCAATGAATTGCTTTATATATAAATTTCAAGGCAATTTGCGATAAGAACAATTTAAGAAAAAAACAAGGAACAACTAAAGATATGAATTACAGATCCATACCCAAAGCAGCTGGAACAGCTTTTTGAAACAACCCCCCCCCACTTGTTTCCAAAAAATACACATAGTAGGTGCAAGTTCTGAATGGGAATTCCTGCTCCACAAAATATACTCCGTCAGGGATGTAGCTGAGCATTTTTTTTTTTATAAGATATTTATTGAAATTTTCAAAGTATTACAAAATAAAATAGAAGCAGTAGAAAGTAGAAAATAAAAATAGTTAACAAAGTAGAAAAAGACGAAAAGAAAAAAAACAAACCGCTTCCAACCATATGAATACAAATTCAAAAATAAGAAAAAGTGACAAAAGAAAAAATACAAAAATACATCACAAACAATTAAAAACATTTAAAAACAAATTCATTATTCTCAAATCCTCAACTGTCATTACCTTCTTTCTTTGACCTCCTCCTCCTCCCTTTCTTTGTATCCTAGTTATTAATTATCCCAGCAAATCCTTTCCATATTTCATAATATTCTGTCATTACATTACCAAAAACTATTTTAATCTTATCTTACTATAATAAAATAAACCTTAAAACTTAAATCTTATCCTTACCCATTTCTCATAACCAAAATATTCTTTCATAATTCTTTAAACATCTTTACTAAAGCCAAGTAATTTCATTCCAACATTTTTCTGACATTCATCAATTTTATAAAACAGTTCTAATGGTAGAAAAAAGATACAAACAGATCCAATCTTCATCCAACGTCCTTTCCTCCTGGTTCCGGGTTTTGTCAGTCCTTATTATCCCGTCGATCTAGCCCATTAACCTGGCAGCCTTATATCCGAGGCCCTCAAGTCTCTTCCATGTCCCTTCCGCAGCTCTTCTTCATATTTGTAACTGTATTTTCCCTTGTCTCCTGCTCGTGATAACTCCAGCTTGACAATATTTTTAACCCTTCTCGACAGATCAGCCCCTTTTCCATATTCAACACTGAATTCCATATGGTATTTAAAAGCATGTTTCAAAGACCCTCCAAAATTAAAATTAAGAGCCCCCACAATCCCAAACATCTCACGGCCCATTGCCAGATTTGAAAAGTCCAAACATCCCAGCATAGGGGGGTCAATCCAGCCCCCCATTTCCAAGCCAAACCAAACTTTTTCTTTCCAAATCTGGCTTTTTCCAAGTTCATTTGTCAAATCCGAAAACTCATATTCCTGTTGGGCCTGTTCTGTCAGGACACACTCCTGATTTAATTCCTGAGTGGGCTCCACATATTTTCCCACTGTCTGTTCAAAATTTCCCACTGCCTGTTCAAAGTTTCTAGTCGAAGTCGCCATCCAATTCACCTTCTCATGTAACTGTTCCAGTAGGGCATTTGTTTTATAGAAAGCACACAACAAAGCTTCTGAATACATTGTCCTGCAAGGTCAGATGCCTGTTCCCACGATTGTAATCTGTAACAGCTGCCGGCTCCCTGGAGTTGGTTACAGTTTCACAGTCTCCCTCTAGGGGGAAAACTTCTATTTGTTCTTGCAACAAAGTTTCCCTTTTTGAGATACTTTGTCAATATTTGTTGCTTAAAGATGCGAAGGGAAGCAGTGGAATCGCTATGTTTCTCTTCTTTTAGCTATCTGTCAAAAACGCTTGTCTCTGGTCAATGAACTTCAAACGTCAGTCCTGACACCCCGCTCCAGGATCAGGACGGAGGAAAGTTACTTTACTTTAAACTCACTTTAAACAGTCCGAAAAAGATCCCCCTCCTTCTCCTGCTGTCGAAGGGGGGTTCCACAATTTTAAATGATGAAATCCAATCCTTTAAAGGCGATTTTCTAAGCTCTAGTTTACATTGTCTTTGCTTTATTCTGTCTACAAAAGAACAGAAGGCTGACTTCCTGTTTAGACCTTCCTGTTCCGTACCAAATTAAAATAGGTTTTTAAAATCCAATTCCTTTCTGCTCACAAGTCCTTATTTGATGTCCAGTTGTTCAAAGTCTGAGTACTCACGGGTGCTTATTTTAGAGTCCAAATTGTCCCAGGAAAAAGGCAGCGCTCTCCGGCAACGGCTATGCGGCTTCGCTCCACGGAAATAGCAGTTGACTCACAGCACCGCGCCACTTCCTCCTCTTCACTTCGGAGCCCGTTAGTGCGAGTTGGGGGGGCGCTAAGGGTGCCCGCCGAGTCCCATGGTCACAGGCTTCATCCGCCTGTGATTTTTAAGAGGGTCCCCGCTTCGCCGTAGCGGAGAAGACCCGTTTCCCGCGGAGCTAGTCCCTCCTGTTCAGAGGGAGTCCGCCATTGCCGATGGCGCCACTCTGGAAGTCCAGGGATGTAGCTGAGCATTGCTGCCTCTTTCTATGAAGAAGAAGAGTTTGGATTTGATATCCCGCTTTATCACTACCCGAAGGAGTCTCAAAGCGGCTAACATTCTCCTTTCCCTTCCTTCCCCACAACAAACACTCTGTGGGGTGAGTGGGACTGAGAGACTTCAGAGAAGTGTGACTAGCCCAAGGTCACCCAGCAGCTGCATGTGGAGGAGCAGGGAATCAAACCTGGTTCACCAGATTACGAGTCTACTGCTCTTAACCACTACACCACGCTGGCTCTCTATGAGCAGCGATGTCACCTGCTAGAACACATGGGGAAGTGAAGAATGTTGAATGAGCTACTGAATTCTTCCTGAGAATTTTAGCCTCTTTTTTTAAAGTAGGTTTCCAGCACTTAAGACTAGAAAAATATGCATGGAAGTGAACGAGCAATGCCTCTTTCCATGATTAGCTAAAGCAGATTAAATTATGCAGAGTGAGGAATTCCTCTCTTGAAATATAAAGCAGCTGCTTCCAAGACTGAAAATTCATTAGCGTTTCATCCTAGAAAATAATGGCTTTTTAATGAAAACAGAATAAGAAACAGAGGGCTCTTGGCTGATTTGCTATGGCATACAATAAAATTATTGTTTTGCTTCCTCCTCATCCAGGGGGCTTTTCTCCATAAAGCAAACATGAATTGGGACATTGCTTGCTTGCTTCCTGTAGCAGATCTTAAAAAGGCATCACATGTCTTCATATGGAGCGCAAGGAGTTTTCTGTCCATTCAACAGCTTCCTTTTGAATGGTATCTTTATAATTCATCTGATTGCTTAGTAACGTAAAATGCTGGCTGCATTATTGGTCAGATATTGGGATTTGAGTTCGGGCTGCTCTTGCCAATAATTGGCAAGAAGGAAAAAGAAACCCACCGCAACCTGGTCTGCTTCTGAGCCCAGTGAACAGAGTTTTGACATGCAGAAATGAGCAGGTGAAGCTTTTCCCAGCTCAGAGGATGATCACCCACCAAATAGAGACCGTAGATCAAATGACAGGGACAGCTTTAAGAGTTGGCACCCTAACGACATATAGGCTGTATAATATTATACGGGATTAGGGCTGGATCTAGACACATCAAAGAAGTGTTTCAGTTTAAAGCGTTGTAAATTTAAACAGGGAAAACAGGTGGAGAAAAACGGGGCTTCACGTCGCCATCTGGTGGCACAATATTATATTGCACATGCAACGCATATACAGTGGTACCTCAGGTTAAGTACTTAATTCATTCCAGAGGTCCGTACTTAACCTGAAACTGTTCTTAACCTGAAGCACCACTTTAGCTACTGGGGCCTCCTGCTGCCGCCACGCCGCCGGAGCACGATTTCTGTTCTCATCCTGAAGCAAAGTTCTTAACCTGAAGCACTATTTCTGGGTTAGTGGAGTCTGTAACCTGAAGCATATGCAACCTGAGGTACCACTGTAAATGACTTTTTCTTTACCAGTCAATATATCTGAAGGAGTGATGAATGGAAAGAAGAACTCTTTCAAAGCACCAACACCAAGAACTCCCCAATTGTGCTTTCAAGATGACTAATGCAAATTAATAAAATGCTTCAATGTTTATTTATTTTAAAACAATGGGTTTTTGTTGTTGTTATTTTTAGATTTGTGTGTATGGATAGAGTTAGCCTAGAAAGACGGACTTGGAGACCAAAGACTGTCAAGAAAATATATGGGAAACAAGAGAGATGTGGGGACTGCTCAGGCTACAGAAGTTGCCAGGTCACACAATCCAAAGATTCTTGTCACTTTCGCAAGTCCTCAGCTGCTGAGAAAGATACAGCTTCTGCAGTCCTGCTTCTCCCTCCCATCCTTGTGAAGGCTAAAACAACAAGAGTCTTCCATGCTCTAGCACAGGATGGAAAGGTCCTCAAGAAGTTGAAGGACTCCAAACTCCCACCATCCCCAAACAGCATAGGCCAATGGCACACCTTCCAACATTTCTCCAATGAAAATAGGGATGTCCCATTCCATAATGATAATTTTACTATCTAAACCCCACATATCTTATTGGGTTGCTCCAGTCACTCTGGGCAGCTTCCAACATATAAAAAAAAATTAAAAACATTAAACATTTTTTAAAAAAACATTTCCCTGTACAGGGCTGCCTTCAGATGGCTCGGGGGTTGGATAACTCCATACCCTCCAACATTTCTCCAATGAAAATAGGGACATCCTAAGAAAAAGCGGGACATTCCAGGATCAAATCAGAAACTGGGATGGCTTCTCTAAATCAGGGACATCCCTGGAAAATAGGGACACATGGAGGGTCTGCAATGGTCAGGGTTGGTGAGCATTGCAGCCCAGCAACATCTGAAGGGCCCAACCCTGACCTAGGAAAGTGGTGGGGAGGTGTGGGGTGTGATGAGATAAATAAAAATGTGGGTGAGACAGAAGAAGCCATAGCTTTATCCTCTTCCACAGCCCCCTGTTTTAAGACACTGCAGGTTCTCCAGGTTGTCATCTGCACTCGCTCTAAATACTATTTCTGTAGCAAAATCTTTTTGTCAGTATTGGAGGAGTAAGATTGCTGATAATTTCCTCTGCCAGCTCTAGAGTAATGGAGGGGAAATTTATTACCCAAGTTGCATTGTGTCCTAACAAACATCTGATAAACTCAGATCAGGCACAGCGATTACAGCTGCAATCCTACCTCTGTTGCGAAATAGCTCCATTGAATACAATGGGACTGACCTCTAAGCAAACACGCATGGGGCTGTTGGTCTAGAACAGGGATAGGCAACCTAAGGCCTGTGGGCCGGATGCGGCCCAGTCGCCTTCTCAATCCAGCCCATGGACGGTCCGGGAATCAGCGTGTTTTTACATGAGTAGAATGTGTCCTTTTATTTAAAATGCTTCTCTGGGTTATTTGTGGGGCCTGCCTAGTGTTTTTACATGAGTAGAATGTGTGCTTTTATTTAAAATGCATCTCTGGGTTATTTGAGAGGCATAGGAATTCATTCATTTCCCCCCAAAAAATATAGTCCAGCCCACCACATGGTCTGAGGGATGGTGGACCGGCCCATGGCTCAAAAAGGTTGCTGACCCCTGGGCTAGAATATACTCCTTCAGGAACTAATTTTGAATGGCTCTCAGGTATTTTACCTTTCTGAGCTGCAGCCCACTGTTTTTGCTTGATCTCAGCTGAATACAAAACATGTGAAAAAGCACTTTTGATGGAATTCCCTAAGCTGGCTGGTGGGCAGAGGGGGATCCAGTTATCCTCTCTCCTTTTTGCTTGTGGTGGGTTGTGGGGTCTGTGTGTATCACAGGAGCCAGCAGTGCTGTGTCTGATCATGCTTATCAACCCCATACATGCAATTGCTGTTGAAAGGAATGGGAATTATGTGTGTTTTGATGTGATAACTGGAGTTGACAGATGCCAGGCTAGAAGGGGCCTCTCTCTCTCTCTCTCTCTCTCTCTCTCTCTCTCTCTCTCCCCCTTTAAGACCTCAGGAGCAAAGACTTCCTGCCCCCACCTTCCCTAACCAGCTGCTGCTGCTGCTGCTGCTGCTGCTGCATTCTCTACACTCACCTCTCTGGGTACAGGCTCTGCAATTCACAACCTCTGTGGTTTCAACAGTCTTATTTTGCTCGAACTCCTTTAAGGAACCTGGAAAGCAAAGACCTTGAAAAGTGTTGCTCTTTGCTTATGAGGATTCAGTTGAACCCAGTCAGAACAAGCTGTTGGAATTTCTGCTCTGGGCGGCTTTGCAAAGGATGCTATCACTTAGCGCAGGGGGTAAGGAGTATCTTTTTATAGCCTGAGGACCACATTCACTACTGGACGATGTTCAGGGCCTTTGCCTCTTTTTATTCCCCCGCAATCTTGTTTGACGCACCTGAGCTTGCTCCAACTGAGTAGCTGTGTCTCGCCCCTTAACAAAGCATGTGATCGTCACCTGCCCTCCCCCCCCCCAGCTTAAAAAAGCTGAGTGACCGCAAACCTCCTCCCGGACCCAACAAGTCTCGTGATCTCCACCTGATAGGCTAGTAAGCGGGGCTGTGTTCTCTCGCCTACCTCAATCTCTTAAAGCGTACTTGCTGCTGCGCCAAGCACCTCAGAGCCCATCGTGTTCACGGAGATGGGGGAAGCACCTCTGGTTCTGGTGATGTGTCAACTTCCCTTGGTTCCTGCAAACTGTCAATTGTGACTTTGATGTCCACTGAGAACCTCTTAAACCCCCAACTTCCCTTCCTGATTCTGCATCTTCAGCTTGTGTGTACCAATCGTGGCTACACCCCGCGCATTTGCTCTAGTAACGGAAGAAGGCTTTGTGGCGCTGGGTGCTTTGTTAATGCAGGGGTCAGCAAACTTTTTCAGCAGGGGGCCAGTCCACTGTCCCTCAGACCTATATATATATATATATATATATATATATGTATTTTTATTAAAGATTTTCTTGATTTACAGAAGTGTGTGTGATGTCTCTCTCTTGTATTTTTTCCATGTAACATTTTTACAAATCAGTTTCATTTGTTGAGACATTAGGAAGAAAAGGGGTGAGAGGGGTAGGGGGTGGCGATGTTTCTATTTTGCTTAATGTATGTAGGGTTTGGTGTCAGCGTTGCTTGTGCAGGTTCTCTGCTGTTCACTTCTGTTCCTTTGGTGGTGAGAGAGGTTGGGGTTGGCCTAGGGTGTGGTTGCTTGTTTGTGATTGGCTGTGGTGATCTTTGTTTTCATGTGTGAGTGGGGTGGGTGGGTGTTTTGGATCAGGTTAGGGCTGGGCTATATTTATTTTGAGGGAGGGGAATGATCGAATTCCTATGCCCCACAAATAACCCAGAGATGCATTTAAAATAAAAGCACACATTCTACTCATGTAAAAGCAAGCTGATTCCCGGACCATCCACGGGCCAGATTTAGAAGGCAATTAGGCCGGATCCGGCCCCTGGGCCTTAGTTTGCTTACCCATGTGTTAGAGCATTAGTTAACTAGAGCATTTGTGATTTCAGGACTGGAACTTGCTGGCTGACTGGGGAATGGGTCCATGGGAGCCATTTCACATCATGCAAGGCAATGAAGATGCCTTAGTGCTTCCCAGGTTTTTGCTCAAGTGCTGCTGTGTAGCACAGTATGTTTGCAAATGCTTTGGGACACATCACCAAGAGCAGCTGCTGCGCCGTCTTCTGCTCTGCCAGGGAATGTAAAGACACACCTCCGATTATTGGGTAGATGCAGACTAGCATCCAGGGCGCTTCCAGACTATTGCTATTTTCATCTGGGATTCAATCACATCCTGGCAAATTCAGGTTGCACAATTGTTGCTGACTGGGAGGCCTTATATGATGAACTCACTCCCCAAAATAAATTAAAAATTAAAAAAGTTATCCAGTAGCACCACCTTGGAGACCAACTAAGTTTGTTCTGGGTATAAGCTTTTGTGCGCATGCACACTTCTTCAGATACTTCCCAAAAGAGTGGGCTTTCCAATCAGCTCAGAGGAAACAAAATAATTCTGTGGAGACTGGGGGTGGAAGGGAAGAGAGTTAGAAGGAATTTGGTTTAAGATCCCAGTTGAACTTTTGCAACAAGGGAAGGAGCAAGAAAATGCACCGGAATGTGTGGGATAACACCGGCTTTGATGCAATGTCATCTAACCTCCCCACAATCAAATCAGGACGAATGCTCGGTCAACAAGTTGCCTGGATGCGCCCATCACCAAAGTGTGGAGCTCCCCTGCAAAAAGTGGTGGACCTACATTTGGGGGGTCCTGAAGCTTCAACTGTCATGGGCCCCCCTTTGCATCCAGCCACGGAGTCTGTTATCTTCTTCAACGGAGTTCTTCCACAACAGATGACCACAAATTTATTACACCTGTGCTGCTGACTCTCAAACTTTGGGATTGCTGAAATTTATCCAACAACCACAAATCAATTGATTTGAGTTGTTCGACTAAAGTTAGGTCTGCTTGCTAGACCCAAATTTGTTAAACAATGTGGACTAAAGTCACTTCTGGGGCCCCTCCAGGATTAGAGGCCCTGAAGCTTAAGCGTCATTACTTTCCTACTAGATCCTTCCCTGCCTGAAAGTGCTTACATGGCAAACAGCACATTGGAAAGTGATGGCATGCTCAGGTTGCCACACATGTCAGCTCATAGGGAGCTGCTTTATGTGCATTTCGTTCAGTATTATCTACTCAGCGCAGGTGGCACTGTGGTCTAAACCACTGAGCCTCTTGGGCTTGCCAATCAGAAGGTTGGTGGTTCAAATCCCCGCAATGGGGTGAGCTCCCATTGCTCTGTCCCAGCTCCTGCCAACCTAGAAATTCAAAAGCATACCAGTGCAAATAGATAAATAGGTACCGCCGCAGCAGGAAGGTAAATGGCATTTCCGTCATGGTGTTCCATTGCACCAGAAGCAGTTTAGTCATGCTGGCCACATGACCTGGAAAGCTGTTTGTGGACAAATACCAGCTCCCTCGGCCTGAAAGCAAGATGAGCGCCACAATCCCATAGTCATCTTTGGACTTAACCATCCAGGGGTCCTTTACCTTACTCAGCACTGACTGGCAGCAGCTCTCCAGGGTTTCAGACGAGCCAGCTGGAGATGGCAGGGATTGAACCTGACACATTTTGCAGACGCGGGTGGTGCTGTGGGTTAAACCACAGAGCCTAGGACTTGCCAATCAGAAGGTCGGTGGTTCGAATCCCCATGACGGGGTGAGCTCCCGTTGTTCGGTCCCAGCTCCTGCCAACCTAGCAGTTCGAGAGCATGTCAAAGTGCAAGTAGATAAATAGGTACTGCTCCAGCGGGAAGGTAAACGGCATTTCTGTGTGCTGCTCTGGTTCGCCAGAAGCGGCTTAGTCATGCTGGCCACATGACCTAGAAGCTGTACGCCGGCTCCCTCGGCCAATAAAGCGAGATGAGCGCCGCAACCCCAGAGTCGGTCACGACTGAACCTAATGGTCAGGGGTCCCTTTACCTTTACTTAAGTGCCCTGACACTGAGTTATGCCCTCCCCCTCCCCCCCCCCCGTGTCCCCACTCACTGTGTCAGTGAGTGAATGTGAGAAGCAACCCTCTTTTGTGTGGAACCAGCAGGATCAGACATGTGACACTTTCTACTGAAAAGGTTAGCATGTTTTATTACCTGGTGTGAGCAAAACAAAATAATGGCTCCCAATCTTGTGTAGAAACTCCAGATGTGGCAATCCCTCTGCTGGCAAACAGACCTGTTTATCCCCATACACTAAATTAGCCCCTGCTACTAAAACAAGCTGAAACTTCCTTCCACCCCATGTAGCCAGATGTGTATAAAATAAGCTCTTTCCCCCCACCATTCATTCCCCAACTCCTTAACCGCCCTGCTGCTGTCTCTAAAATGCACTTTCTATATAACACACGGCAGAGACTGGAACATTTGCTTTCAGAACTTGGTTGTTGTTATGAAAAGATTTAAGTCAGGATTACAACAAAGTCTGAACAAACATGATGTTTAGGAACAGTTCTTCCCATGATTTTGCTAGCGCTATAGAAGAGCAGCTTTTGCATTCTGTTCTTGCGTATCACTTTGATCCGACACGCTTTGACCTGATAATAAATCCCACTGAATGAAATGGGAATTGCTTCTGAGTGGACATGCATAGGATTGCAGGCTAAGTTGTCCTTATTTAAAGAGTTGTCCTTATTTAAAGAGTTGTCCTTATTTAAAGAGTTGTCTCTTATTTCAAAGCTCCAGGAGATAACAGACACAAAACGGTGAAGCAAGGTTTCTGCACGGTGGCTGACATGGAAGGGCGAGTCAGGAGGATGGAGGAGATGGGGGTGAGGATCCTGGCGCGCCCTGGGAGAAGACTTGCAAGCTGACCTGGAGCATGAATTTTTGAAAGACCCTGAACATCAGGGCAGCCCTCAATGGGTCCCTGATGAAGGAGCACAGCAAAGTCAGCTGCAAGCTCTGCCACAGCTAGTGCCACCATTGAAGGAGCTGCAGGCAACTTCTCCTTCAAAGGCAGCCTCTGGGATGACCCAGGATACACTGAAGAGTCTTGTGGGCAGGCTCCAGAAGACCATGCCCACCACTGAAGAGAGGGTGCAAGTCATTGAGCAAAAGAGGAGACATCCTTTCTCAGCTCACCCAAGAACTCACCCAAGTGTGGAATGAAGCTAACTGGATTTGAATGGTCTCATCCAAGTAGCTGAATAACTGTCATGGTTGCCATCCAAAGTACCTGATTCGTACCTGACTTTTCTATTTGAAGTTTTGGCTTAGCCGCAATGCTCCCAGCACCTAGAGAGAGAATTCTCTGTATAACGCAAAAGCAAAAGATTCTCAGAAAGAAAATGAGAAAACAGATCCAAAACCACAGAGCTACTGTTCCTTATAAGAATATTATCGTACCATGCAAAATCCATGGGAAGGGCTCCTTCTGTGCAATCCTATGCACCCCACCCATCCCATAATTGCAGATATGTGCATGATATTCCTGCTTCCGGAGCCTTCCCTTTGGTCACAAGGCAGCACACAGGGAAATTCCGCCAGTGTTTTCCACCTCCCCTCCTTGCAATCCTTCTGAAACACAGGCCCCAGTTATTGGGGATTAGATAGAACAGATGCATGTAAGATGCTTAGCGCTTTGGTCCAGACAAGGCCACTTTCCAATCAGCTCAGAGGAAACAAGGTAATTAGATGGAATCTTGGCCAGAGAGAAAGAGAAGGAATTTGGTTGTTACTAGACCATAAGATTCCTGTTCCTGCCCCTTCCCTCTTTTCCCCGTGTTTCTCATTTCCCTCCCCTTGTACACAGCAGCTGATGTCAGTGAAGGGCTGCTAAACAGGTCTGGTCTCTGCTGAAGAAACTTGTGTCACTTAAGCAGGGCAATGAATCAAGAGTGTCCTTTTAAAAAGCAACAGCTTTTGGATCGGAGACAAACGGCGCTGTGTGTCCCTCTAGCTGTTTCTGGGATGGCAGGGAAGTTGGCAGGAAAGCTTCTCGATACAATTTAAGCTTTGTCTGACGGTCTCATCGTTAAAGAAATACACTCTGCTAATAAAGACAAAGAATATCAGTGCTGGGGAAGTGGTAGCATGCGGAGGGGAGATGAGCCACAATGACTGAGTTTCTGGTTATTACCAGATAATATGGGTTGGGAGCGTGTGAATCAGACAGACTGAGATGGTTTGAGTTGATTGGCCAAACTTCTGGAGACTTGTAGCAGAGAATGGGACAGAAAATGCTGTTTTGGTCGCATGTAACTTTGACCCTCTGAAAGCCCAGCTCTACACGTTTAGTTTTTTCACTCAGAAGTAAGTCCCACTATGTTTCCTGGGTGGCAGGATGGTCTAAACATGTCTCTGTCAGTGATGAATACCTATGAACCTGAAGCAAGCTTCCCTTGTTGAGTAACAGAAGTAGAGAATTCCCATTTCTCTTGCCTTCCCTGCAGAGCTATTGATCGAAAGAGTGAAATAGTAATAGTCTGAATGTGAGTGAGGGAAAGAGAGGAGTAGGAGACTGAGGTTTGGTGGGGCAGATCCTTCAAAGAAGTTTCTCCACGAAATGTTGAATCTGATAATAATAATAATAATAATAATAATAATAATTAATTTGGGCGGCTTCCAACAGAATATTAAAATACAATAACCTATTAAACATTAAAAGCTTCCCTAAACAGGGCTGCCTTCATACGTCTTCTAAAAGTCTGATAGTTGTTTTTCTCTTTGACATCTGGTGGGAGGGCGTTCTACAGGGTGGGTGCCACTACCGAGAAGGCCCTCTGCCTGGTTCCCTGTAACTTGACTTGCAGCGAGGGAACCGCCAGAAGGCCCTCGGCATTGGTCCTCAGTGTCCGGGCAGAACGATGGGGGTGGAGACACTCCTTCAGGTATACTGGACCGAGGCCGTTTAGGGCTTTAAAGGTTAGCACCAACACTTTTGAGTTGTGCTGGGGCGGGGGGGACCAAAAACATTCAAGTCTACTTTGGGAAACGTGTGTGCTCTGCCTTCACTTATTTTATTATATGAGATGGACAAAGAAAACTATCAACCCCGCCTCACCCCTCCAATTAATTTTCAATTAATTGTTCATAGCTCTATGGATGCTTACCACACTTCCAGTGCCTCTAGCAGAAGCTTTTCAGCAAACAAGTGCTCATCAGAATCTGCAAGCATCCTCCTATGGGCAAGAATGGACAAGCTATCTATTTGTTTTGGGTATCCAGTGTCACCTTGCAAGAGAAATTGACTTTCTGGAAGTAATTGATTATTTTGTATTGAATGAGGGCAGGAAAGAAAGTTTTAATTTGAATGGGTTTGTTTATGAAATGCTTGCAGCTGTGTTGGAAACATTAGAATAAAAATAAGCAGAACCACTGACAAGATAATGCCTTTATTAGGACCAAAAAAAGGTGCAAAATGACCAGCAAGCTTTATAGAGCTCTTCTCCAGGGTTGGATGCTTGTTAAATAAAAGCAGGAGGAAAAAACGAAAAAAACCGACATAGTAGAAAGCCCCCAATGTGGGCTATGATGTAATTTCAGAAATGTAGAAAATGCAAATCCGGAATTAAAATAGAAACTTTTCTGACATTATTCACAGTATTGTGTGTCAGAGATAGGAACTTGATGCAGAGGGGAAGCCCATGTTACAAGTTTATGCTGGTCTGGAAAAATGATGCTAGGCCCCTGAGTGCATTTGATTTTCTCACCCCCATCCCACTGCCCGCCATGATCCAAGTGAGCCAACTTTATCACAGTGCTGCACTATACTGAATAAAAAATTATATTGTGCCTTCTGTAGGCACCCACTCCTTTTTCCTTCCTTTGTCACTTTGTATAGCCCCCTTTCTTAAGTATGTGAGACCTTGCTCTCCGCTCCTGCACAAACAGGCTTGTTTCCTTTCACTTCTGAAAGGCAGATTCTGCTGCAAGGTTCAAGGTTGCAACCAGCCAGCCTTCCCTTCTTACATGGATCCCCTCTCCCAACATTCAGGATTTGCTGGTCACAGGCCATGTTCGGGTCCTCATTGGGCTGGGGTGGTTTTGGGGGGGCAGAGGGTCTCCTTTGGGTTTTACCCTTCAATATTTTTGCACTTCTGCAAACTTTAGGGTTTCCTGAAGCTTGAGACTGTGCTCCACCTCATGTTTCGATGTACATAACCCTGTTTTGGCTTCATCGTTGCTGGTACTTGGCATCTGAGCTATTAGTGATGATGGATTGCATCATCATAGTTCTTTCAAGTGGTCAAAGCTCTTTACGTTGATTTATGGAGTTATAATCCTTACAGTAAACCTGAACATGAATATTAACCCACATTGTTGGAATTAGCATTTGTATATTGCAGATGAGGGCTGAGTCTGAGACTGCTTTGGCCTTTCTTTCCTTCTTTCTTTCTTTCTTTCTTTCTTTTTTTCTTTCCTACTTACTTACTTACTTAGGTAAAGGTAAAGGGACCCCTGACCATTAGGTCCAGTCGTGGCCAATTCTGGGGTTGTGGCGCTCATCTCACTTTACTGGCCGAGGGAGCTGGCGTACAGCTTCTGGATCATGTGGCCAGCATGACTAAGCCACTTCTGGCGAACCAGAGCAGCACATGGAAACGCTATTTAACTTCCCGCCAGAGCGGTACCTATTTATCTACTTGCACTGGGTGCTGTTGAACTGCTAGCTTGGCAGGAGCAGGGACCGAGCAATGGGAGCTCACCCCGTCGTGGGGATTTGAACTGCCAACCTTCTGATTGGCAAGCCCTAGGCTCTGTGGTTTAACCCACAGTGCCACCCGTGTCCCTTACTTACCTTCTTACTTACCTACCTACTAAATGTGTGGCAGGAGTTTTGAACCACTCCCTCATATGTATCTGAGTCGATTCAACCCTCTACACCAGAATATCTAGGTACCAAAGCAACAGTCCCATGAAGAACTATTGCAATTTACCAGGGATGCATCTACAGAAACAGAGCAAAGGGACATTTATGGACATCATTTACAATACTACATCTGAATCGAGCCTCTGTCTGGGTCTGTGGATACTTTCATTGAGGCCTAGGCATGTGTGTCCATCCCCCCTCCCCCAGTCCACTTCAGTTTCTGCCAAAATCTGCAACCAGCTGTCATCTGGTAAAAGCAGCTACTTGTAGAGGAAAATAAAGTTAATTCTTTTGAACCAGCAGCTTCTCTGTTGTGAAGGCTCAGGCTGGCAGCATTTTTCAAGATGCCACTTGGAGAGTACTTTGCAGTGGCTCGTTGTGGCAGAGTTTTGACAAACAGCTGCATCAGCAGAGTCCATGTGTGATTTTTCTTAACACCCTGTTTTAGTGCTGGCACCAAGGGTCTCTTATGCCCCCGTGTAGGAGTAGGAAACTGTAGAAGAAGTGTGCATAATAAAGCTCTAAGAACCTTTGAAGATATAAAGTACTGGGAGTTTAAGGCTGCAGGATTAGTTGGTGCTGCACTGGGCTTTAACCCCGACTCTATAAAAAGCTTAGATCTAGGTATAAATGTCACAACTCTTTGAAATCACCATCTTCACCATCTTAGTCCATGTTGTGGATCTGAATATGCACTTGTCTAAAACAGAAAAATATGCTAAAATTAGTAATTTTAGTAATTAGTAATACGTGTCCTGCAATCCTAACCAACCTGATTCTGGGAAGACACACTCCTGTCACGCCACTTTCATCATGGCCACAGGCAGAACCTCCAGGAGAATGTTTGAGCTCATGCCTTGCAAGTTTAGGCTTTCTGGTTTATGAAGAACTTGAGGCCAGTGTAGGCTTGAGTGCCTAGGCTGGGTCTTCTTAGGGTCAGGCTGCTTTGAAGTGCTGCCCAAAGTCTCTACAGGTTAAGCAGCTCAGTGTGTTTTTAGGGTGGCATAGTTTGTTTTATTCTATTTTGCTACTGCAGGTTCTC